AATCAGGTGCAAGTTGATTCCCCAAAATGACGATTTTGAAAGTTGGTTCCCCAAAATAGAAATCAAGTGCAAGTTGGTTCCCCAAAATAAGAATTATGTAAAAGTTGGTTTCATTTTGGTGCAATTTTCCCTTGATTGTAACCTTGTATCTTATTGTTTATTTGTTCACTTTAACCTTATAATATATATATATATATATATATATATATATATTATAGGTGGGTTATTATGCAATCGTTTACATTTATACAACCAATACAACTCAATATCAATCGTCCATTTAATTTGATGAATATGTGATTTCATAAAAGTTTAAATTTTTTCTAATATAAAGTATTGATCATACTTAATGAATTTTAATCATCTTTCATAAATATTTAAATAATAATAAATGAAACTCTCATCACTTCTATAAATATCTCAATTGATTGAGTTGTATTAGTTGTACAAATGTAATAAATTTCATTTGAAACGTCCTCTATATATATTATATGTATATGTATATATATATATATATATATATATATTAGAAGGATACTTGTGCAATGCAATACTATACATTTTGATTTTAATATTTCGTTTGATTTTTGTCTTTGTTGATGTTATAACATGGTTTTATGTGATTTTAATGAAGCGATAATGTTTTTATGTTTGAATAAAATATAAATTCGAATATCTCATATAAATTTTAAAAAAATATATTGATATTAGTAGCAAATTAACTACTTAAAAGTTTATATTTTTTATGTAATTTATTTAATCCAATTTTTTATTATAAAATGCACTAGATCAATCTTTAAACCAAATGCAATTTATGGGTGGTTCGATTAAAAGTGATTAAGGATTCAGATCCCTTCTTATGTTTCTCACCTTAACTCTCTTTCTTATTGGAACCTAATAATCGTATGAGAAGGAGAGTATAAGATGAGAAGTGTAAGAATAAATTTTGACCCTTGATCACATTTAATCACAAATTCACTCATAAATTGCGTTTGAGACGAGGATTGATCTGGTGCATTCCGGTACATTTCATCCTAATGTGCATCGAATGATGGAGAACCCTTCTTACACTTATCACTTTAATTCTCCTTCTCATCAAAATCCAACCACATATATATACATACATGCATGCATGCATACATGCATCCATGCATACATACATCCATACATACATACATACGTACGTACGTACGTACGTACATACATACATACATACATACATACATACATACATACATACATACATACATAAAAAGAGAGATAGAAGTTCAACTACAAACCGGTTTTCAACTATGAACCGGGAAGTAAAGAAGAACACAACACGTGTCTCTGACATTCACATTCAATATGAATAACGAATGTAAAGTTCTTGAACTATTCATGATGAATAATACGCGATCATAAACCATGCTAAATTAATTCACTATTCATGATGAATGATACATTATTTATGATGAATAATCCGTGAAAGCATAAGACACGTCTCGTGCTCTCTTTTGTCCTGTTATTCACAATCAAAAATCAATTTTCAATTAAATCCGCTCCTATATAACAAATTAAATGAAATATAATAACAAATATAAAATAATGTTAGTAAATATGACATAATGTCAACCACTTGTCGGCTTTTTTCAATAGTCCTCTTCCCTCATCCCCTCTCTTTCTTTCTTAGTTACAATCGCCCCTTCCTGCCTTTTAAGAGTACATCCGATAGTTATATGTTAAATAGTTTTTAAAATAAAATATTAAAATATTTCAAAAAATATTGTATCTAATTCCAACGGTTATTCTATTTTAACAATTTTAATATTAATTATATTATTAAAATCTTTAATATATATCCGAACAACTCTTTAATATATTTCAAACAATCAAATTAACTTTTAAACAAATTTTATATGAATCGGTGATTTCTATTTTTTTTATGAAATGATAATTTATATTACCTTATAAATCAGATTTATCAAAAATCTTAAAAACAATTTTTAATATACAAAATACTATACATTTATGCATAAAGTCTTGAAAACAATTCATAATGCATTAAGTACTACTAATTTATGCATTCGGTCTTTAAATCTTTTGATCTACAATTAAAATAACATATAATACAAGTTACCAATGCACGTTATTGACTTTTCTTTTTATGTTCTCAAGATACTTTTGACACATTTCATTCATACCTATGTCTTCTCCTCATCCACCAAAGTGATATTCAAACTGATATTCACCATGAGTTATTCAAAGTTCTCCCATTCATCTCTCATTCAATTAATCTAAAACTCTCGGTCTCGTTCTTGATCTCTTGATTATTTGCTCTTGGTGTAAATCGAACACATTTGTGGAGTCGTTTAAATATGTTGGATTTTAAATATATTGGATTTTAAACTGTTATACAATTTTTTCATCGATAGACTGTAATTGAAATCATAACTTTATTTATTTAAATTGTATTAATATGTAAAGATCAAGTGTAACTTATATCATCGTTAAATTTTCTATAATAAAACTAGTGAAACTTTAAAATCGTTAAAATTCATGGCTCCCGCCGCATTGCGCAGATGCACAACTACTTTATAATAAACTTTATACAATGATAATTTTTAACAATTTTGTTACGTAAAATAATATGTTTCAACAATTGTTTAGAAATTGTAACGTTTTTGTGTGGGAACATAAATGATAGACTAAATTACGCTTTTAATTGTTATGGTTTGTTGAAAATTTCTATTTTCATACTTATGGTTTTGAAATTATGATTTTCATTCCTATGATCTATAATTCATTGCTTTTTTCGTCTTTATGATCTACAATTTTTTTTTTCATTCTTATGATTTATAATTCATTTTTATTTTAATTTCTAATAATTAAAAGTAGTGTTTTACTCTCAAAACAGAAAATAAAAAATGAATTACAAACTATAATAACTAAAATCGAAATTTCCAACCCATATGGATGAAATTTGTAAAATTTAACAAACCATAAGGATAGAAAGCATAATTTACTCTAAATAATATGTTCCAACAATTGTTTAGAGAATTATAAACATTTATGTTTTGGTGAAAAATATTTAAATAATAATTTCTTCTTTATTTAAAGATTTCTCTAAATTTAAAAAAAATTTACAATTTCTTTTTTCTTTTAATCTCTATTTTAAATTTAAAAAAAATTTACAATTTCTTTTTTCTTTTAATCTCTATTTTAACATAACTATTGGAGATGCTATTCAATCACTAATGCTTGTAGAGCATGTTCAGGGGGTGTTTAGGATTTGCTTATTTGAAACAACTTATATTTTTTCTATAAAGTCCTTATCAACTTATTATAAGTTATAGTGATTTAATTTTTCAAAAAGTTCTTATTACCTGTTTGACACCGGTATAATCTGTTTATTCAAACATTTAAAAATGTTTATTACCGATGATACACCTGAATAAGTCAATAAGTTATTTTTATAATCAATCATAAACATACCCTTAATAGGTTATCTATTTTTTTAAAACGAAAAATCAAAAAGCCTTACAATTTTAATAAAACCATATTCAACTACAATATATTTTTTATTTTAGATATTACATGATTAATTATATTATTTAAACTTTTATACATAAATAAAATAGTAATTTTCTTTAATAAATACATAACATCAAAGTTTTTTTATTGATCACGATATAATAGAAAAAGCTATTTTTCTCTCTCATAGTAATAAGTTTTGCGATGTTATCCAAATTCGAAGGATTTAAAGCTTTTTTTAATAGTCATGTTATATTATTTTTTTTCTCTTTTTCTTTTAAATTTACAGATTGTTTCATACTATTTTTTTAGAAAAAAGTTTAACATAATAATTGAAACAATTTATTCAGTTCTTTAAAATTTCTAAAATAGCATAGTTGTTGAAAACAAGTTTTTTCTCTCTCTAAAAATAGAGAAACAAAAATCAAAATATCTAAAAAGTAATTATATTTAAATCCAGCAAAAAATTTTAGATAAATTTTCTTTTAAGATTTTGACTTTTAATTATTTATGTTAAGAAATATGTTCTCATACCTTTTTCATTTTGAAATATCTATAAAGTTTGTTTAAAATCTTTATTTACTTTATTTGAGGAAACTTATTGGAAATACTTTTATGACCCATTTTATTCAGGGATGATGATTTGTCCCGATCCGGTGGGGAACGCGGTTCACCTGACCTGAACGAAGACGGAGATTCCCTGCTAATACGGGTCTCGGGATTAGGGATCCCTGGTAGACTCAAACCGGGGCCAGAGATTCCTGGTAGACTCAAACCGAGGTCGAGAATTCCCCGTAGAATCAAATTAAAAGATATTATTTATAGGATTTGACTGAGATTGATAGAGATTTGACCGGGGATAGGATGTTAATTCCTATACCCACTGGAGACTAGGGAGGCAGTGGATGTTACTACAAACCGGGGCAGGGGATTACAAAACCCGCCCCATCTCCACCCATTACCATGCTTGATTCTATTATCATGTGAATTATAAATCAATATCAAATCCTTTTCTATTTACATTTTTAATATTACAATTTGGAATTCAATTTTATTTTCACATCCTCTCCATTTAATATATTTTGTGATTCCAAAATGTTTATTTTCAATAATAATCAAGTTTTAGAACTTTTTATATTAGAAAACCAAATTTACTTTTTACCTATATTTTGAGGAAAATAAATTTGAGCAAATACATTTACTATTTTTTAAAAAGAGTGTTATTTAGGTGCTCTTGTATAATTATTAATTACTAATTATTAATTGATATTTATATTAAGATTTTTTTAACAAATCAAAATACAAAAAAAATGTGGATACTTTTTGTATTATTTCATATTTTGAGGGTTGTTAATGTAAAATTATTCAAAATATAGGGAGTGTAGATGTGAAGATTGCTAATTTCTTTCAGGAAACAGTCGAGAGAGAGAGAGAAAAGGGCACTTTGGATACTCTCTTTCTCTCTTCAATGCAGCAGCAGCAGCCACCATTAAAGGATCTCTTTCAAGTTTCTGCTTTAGCTCTGCAACATCAGCTCACTCATCAAACATCATTTTGACTTTCTCTAGCTTTTCCCTGTCAAATCTGTTCCATTTTTTGATTTGAAATGTCTCAATTCTGACTATTACAAAGTCCCCAAAAGGTCCAAGTCTACAGCTTTTCTTTCCATCTGATCGGATTTTCAACTAACAATGAAGTCAAGAACTCGTTTGGATTCTGTCGTATTCCAACTCACGCCCACAAGAACAAGGTAATTTTGTGTCTTCTTTCGCTAATTGTATAAAAGGCAAAGTTAAAATATCTTTAAGAGTTTCGAAATGGAACTTCGCCTTGTAGTTCCAGTATATGGTCTCATTTAATATCATGAGTGTTCATTCTGTTCGAACTTGCTCCTTAGGGCATTTGACCTCCTCTGAATGTGCATATCTTTTCTTGATGTATGTTCGATTGATTATTATCATCATTTTTGGCAAAGATTGAAGCATCTGAAATCTAGAAAACAAACAAACATATACTAAATCCAATATTGCGTCCCGATTTAGGGAATTTCATTGTCCAATGCTGCCGTAGAGGGGCAGTTTAGCTTGGCACTTGAGAGTTGAGAAAGGCTCGGTTTCTCCAACTGTATATAAATTTCTGACCCTTTTTGCTTGAATGCAACATTTTGCCTGCTCAAAATTGATACAACCCATGTGGAATCGCACAACCCACTGGATTGAACGCCTAGCTGCGTAAGGAGGTTGCCACCCTTGCCTCGAACTCGACGATTTGGACCTGCGCTACTTGGCTTGCAACCTAGGTCGTGGCTAGGTCGCAATGCAAATTCACGTTCGGCCCCTGGGTATAAAAAGGGTCGTCTTTAGATATTTTTGGGCAGTAGCTTCCTCGTTGAGGTTTTTCATAACTTTTTTTTTCCCATTTTTAGTAAGGGACGCAGAAGGCTTTGTTTTGCTGATTTCTTGATTCAAGGATCATTGTAACGCATAGTAATCCTCCTGGTTAGCAATAGAATCAATCTCTCTCTCTCTTGTGGAGTACACTATCACATCGATAGTGCAACAAGGACAAAATTAAGTTATTCAACAAAACAAACCATAATCTAAAACAAATATGTCAATTTTAAGTTAGGTGACACATTGAATGTTTAAAAGAAATACATAAATTTATATCAAATTAGATATAGTCATATAGACTAAAAGTTAAAAAAACAATACAAAGTAATGGAAACATGAAAGCTATATTACTTCTTTTTTGAAGTATATAATATATTTTATATACGACAAATGCAACAAATAAACTCACACACCCTCCTCATCATTGGTGAGGTTTGAACCCCTGACCTCCTACAAGGCAAAAGACTCAGATACCACCAGGCCAAAGGCCCTTTGGCAAGGCTATATTACTTTCGAGAAAGCATATAATTATCACTTTGAAGTAAGATGAAAGTACGCATGTGTTACCAACATGAACCTTTGGTTACATTGGGTTGATTACAAAGGTACTTGTGATTCGTGGGTATTTGAAGTAATTATTCAATACTTGTGTAGTGGATGATTTTTCAAGATTGTATGCATGTTCTAGCAAAAGAAGAGGGAAAGCTAAGTTAAGAAGAGCTCTGATTGAAACCTTGATCCGTTCAGTGAAGCTTATATCTCTCTTCCTTCATACGCCCTTCTACATAACAGTGGGCACAAAAGTACTTTTCCTGTACACTAAGGGGGCATTTGGTTAGCATAATGTTTTATGAAGGAATGAAATTTGTCAAAGGAATTTGACTTTGAAGGAATTGGAATGGAATTTGACAGCCTGTTTTGTTGGAATGAATTGAAATGGAATTTGTTAAATGATTTGGAATCTGCCTATTTGGTTCGTAGAATGTAGCTTCAAAATTGAAATGAATAAACGATAAATGACCAAAATACCCCTTTTAGAACGATGGTGGTTCAAATTTGTGGTGGTCGATAGTGGTTTAGAACGGTGGTTCAGGTCAGTGGCGGCCGATGGTGGTTCAAATCAGTAGTTGAGAACAATGGTGGTCAACAGTGGTTTAGAATGGTGTGGTTCAGATCGGTGGTGGTCGAAGATGCTTCAGAACGGTGGTTCTGATCGATGGTGGTCGACGGTGGTTCAGAATGGTGATTCAGATCGGTGGTGGTCGGCTGTGGTTCAGATCCTTGGTGGTCAGCGTGGTTCAGATCGATGGGTGGTTGGCGATGGTTCAGATCGGTGGTGGTCGGCGGTAGTTTAGAGTGGTGGTTCAGATCGGTGGTGGTCGGTGGAGGTTTAGAATGGTGGTGGTCGGCGGTTTTTCCAAAACAGTGGTGGTCGATGGTGATAATTTTGTCTTTTTGAGAAAATAGAATATAATGTAATTGAATTCCTTCTATCCTTTGGTGGAATGACCAAATCCATCAACGGTGGAATGCGTGGAATTCAATTCCATTCCATAGGTAAACCAAATAACCAAATACCTACATGGAATTTGGTTAACGAAATTGATTGTTCCAATTCCTTCAGATTCCATTACCAAACTCCCCCGAAGGGAATAAGAAGAATGAGACTCGGGAATTTTTTACAAAGCACTTTGATAGTGGGCTTTAGATGCCATGGAAGTAGGACCTAGAGTTATTGAGAAAGCAGTTGCCGCTATGACTTATATGGCTAACCAAACGCCCCCTAAGGGAATAAGAAGAATGAGACTGGGAAATTTTTACAATGCACTTTGATAGCATTATGGGCTTTAGATGCCATGGAGGTAGGACTTGGAGTTGATGAGAAAGCAGCTGCCGGTATGACTTATATGGTAGAATATGGCCTTGATGTAGGTTCTCTTTTTGTTTGAGCATGCCATAGGCTACAAGTGCTAGAAATGGGTTGAGGAAGAGTACATGCCAATGGATGATTCTTTAGGAATCATTCAAACCCATCCTCAACGGCTTGGTTTTCTTTGATCTTGTTCTCACCTAGTTAGATGCTATGGTTACTAATTAGTGTCATCCTAGATCTACTAAATCTCCTAAAGATATAGTTAACTTAAGTACTAGATTTTTAAATCCCTCGTGATTGTGTATAGATTTTCAATAAGCATAAATTTTTACTTATGTTGTGTTGATTCTTTTGGCTTTTGTCTTGTCATTCTTAGCGGAGATTACAAAGAATTAGTTAGAACAACCATTAGACCAGTTCACCCTATGCATTAGAAGTTTGACCACCAAAAAACAACATATTCAATAACAAAATATAGTATCGAGATGCTAAAACTTGCACCAAGTGGATACAATCCAAAAGAAAATTGTTTACCTGATTTTGTTACAAAAATGATTATGAAAACTATTGCTACTTTTATGGTTTTCTTTATAACATCAAAAATTGATTTCACCAAAAGATGGAGAAGGTGGAAAGACAAGGCAAAACATAAATATTGCATTATATTCAAATTACCAAAGAAGAGGATCCCCTGTCCGATCATTTGAATACAAGTTGGGCTTTAGTCACTATCAATGGGAGTCTAATATCAACTTGTATTGCTTCCTATTTGGTGTTACACCATAGGTTTTAAGAATATTGCTTTAGTTTTATTTTGTAATCCCAATACTTGAAAGAGTTCCATCACGATAAAAAGGAATGCATCTGTCATATTGGTAATTCACTTTTCGTTTACATCATCAAAGCTTTAGACTAATCACCTTTTGCAATATGAGATGACATGACAGTCTTCATTCAATTATGTATGCTTTATAGTCAAGATACATATAGTTGATACTTCTTAATGGCAATTGAAATTCTTAATTTAGTCGTAACTGCTGCAAATTACCAGGTGCGATTTGTACATCATTGCAAATGATAAGAAAGAGAAAATTGCTTCTGGTTTGCTGAGCCCTTTTATTGCCCATCTAAAGACAGCTCAAGATCAAATTGCAGAAGGTGGCTATTCAGTATTGCTTGAACCAGAAGCTGGCGGTAATGCAACATGGTTTACAAAGTGTACGGTGGAAAGGTTTGTATTATTCTTGGTACTTTACAATCTTTTTGCATATTTCTGTTGTTTTCTTTTTAGGTAAGCGTTTATTAATCTGTTTCAATTTGGACATGTTACTGAACTAGCAGTCATAATGATCCTCATTTTAGCGAAAACAATTCAAGTGTTTTGGTTTAAGTAAAAAATATATAATTTGAAACGCCTTGTATGTTACAATTCCACACTGTTAATAGATAGAACTAGAACTATGGTTTGGTTGGTCTTTTAGTTTTGTGTGTTGTGACCTGTTGAATTGGTTTTGTAGTTTATCACTGAACTAGCAGTCATGACGATTCTCAATTTAGAGAGGTCAATTGAAGTGCTTTGATGCAAGTACAAAAAGTAACTTGTAAAGCTTGATAAGTGACAACATTTCCATACTATTAATATATAGAACTTGAAGTATGGTTTAGTTAATTTTCATAATGTGTTTGACGTGTTAAACCGGTTTTTGTTTATTCCATTTATTTTAAGCCTATAAGACCTGTCTTGTATGTTATCTATTCCTTTAGGGGATTCCCTCGAGGATCAACATCAATTGTCATGCTAATCACTTACATAGTGTAGGAACCAAATAGAAATCCCTTTTGTCATTATATGCTAGCAGAAACCCTACATGTTGTTGCCAAACTCTAGGCTAATGACCCTAACCATCATCTTTATTCAATTCCCACCCTTGTTATGTTCTATCACAACATCCTCGGTAACTTGTTAGAACCTTTATCTGAGGTCTCAACTTTTGTTGTCACCATTGCAACCACCACCTCATTCACATCTCTTCAACCTCCAATTTTAACCACATTTGTCGGGCTTTACGAGTCCTGAATGAATTTGGTTCATGGCACAATGTGGTAACTTGATTGATCACCTTTTCTGATCTTCTCCCCGTTTCCTAATTATATTGTACTTAGCTCAATGTTACTTGCAATGCAAAATCCTTGTCACTCACTTGCTAATTGTTTTGCATTGCTTGAGTTGCTATGTGATTTTGTTTGGCATCTTCCATCATCGTTGTTAGCTGAGAAGATTGTTGACCAGCTTATCTTATCTAATTTATTTTTGCCTGTGGGAATGTGGCTAGTTGAGCATTGATTGGTCAAACTGTGTTGGTTAATTTTTATGATTTTTGTTCTTATCAAATAATGACTAATTACTATTAGTTTACTGAGGAATAAAATAGCTTGAGATGTATTTAACTGATAAGGTTTTAATTTGATCAAGATTTTGGTCTTGATTAACTATGAATGGCAAGATTTTGCCTTGCATAATGTTCTGACCACTAGATTCTACAATGGCTCATTTTTCACTCTATATTCAAAGTCTTGATTCGTATTTGGTTGGTCATTGTATTGCTAGAAGACACCTGTGTGTTATTTTAGTAATCAACTAAGTTCTTAGGTTTCGGTCTGTTGTTTATGAACATGCTTAAGAGTTAAGACTTTGTCTCATGTTATGCTCTTATCATCATGAGCATGAATTGCCTCTAAGAGAGTGCATGTCAATGCAGAGAGTCCTTATATTTGATGCCTGAATAAAATATGAAAGTAATCATACCACACACTAGGAGACAACTTGAGACCATATAATGAAAGTCGGAATCAATATACCTTTGAGGCCTCCTCATTGATAACAAACCTAGAGGATGCTTCTTGTACTCTTCCTCAAGAGTGCCATTAAGGTCCACATTCTTGACATTGAACTGCTGGAGCAACCAATGATTAATGGCAACCAAGTCTATACAAAAACAAACAAAAGACATTGGCCACCTAAAAATATTAGGGCACCCATGGGTTGAGGACATTTGCATAACCCAATCCAACTACTTCGATTTAGAGAATTGTGACATCGTTTTAATGTATAACCCAACCCAACTCAACCCGTTACATTTCGGGTTGTGTTGGGTTGGTTAGGTTGAACATAGTTGTAACGAGATGGCTAAATTTAAATTTAAAACCTAAAATTTAAGGATTTAGCTATACTTCAATGCAAATAAACATATGATCTTTTAGAATAGGGGTTGAAAGATCATAACTCATTGTGGATTTAGAAGTTGAGATGAGACAAGAGGGTTGTAAATTAGAGGTTCACATGGGTTTGGTTGGCTGGGTTGAAGGGCATTTAAATAACCCAACCCAACTACTTTGGTTTGGAAAAGCGTAATCCTTTCAAACTATTTTTAATGTATAATCCTACCGTTACTTCTGGTTGGCTTGTCGGGTTTATGTGTATCCATAGAAAGAATGTCTCATCAAGTCATCATAATCCATCCCATAAGAATGAGAATGTCCATTTGCGACTAACCGAGATTTCAACCAAATATAATGAACTGTCAAGATTAAGCTTCACTATAAACACCTATTTTATAACTTATTTTGTGCTTTCTAGGAGGAAGTTGTTCTAAATGCCAAGGATGGTTCTTTTGTAGGGCAACCACTCTTACATTGCTTTAAATCATCTAGGGTGATTAAAGGCCAATACATGTAACGTCAATGCAGGTAAAATATTTACAAAGGCTTAGGCTATAACGACGATAGCCCTTTTGGCCATGTGAATACCAAAGGAACACTTGATAGCACGTGGTGTAAGTTTAAATATGTCCTTGGTAATGATCACATATATAGGAGACGGATCCAAATATTTTAGGAGCTAGAGGAAAAGAGGTGCCTTTTGGAAATAGTATGGAGAAGGGTGTCTGGGTTAAATCATCATATGAGCCACATCTAGCAAATGGCAGTTTTTCCGTTCAAGGATGCCATTTTGCTGGGTGTATAGTGTATACTCATGCATAATACCGCAACACTTGGAGAAAAAAACTTGTAAAGTTAGTTGAGATGTATAGTTGGGTTTTAACCTAAGTTTAGAAGTCTCGAAAGATGGAAGAAATTTCTGTCCATATTTTAAGCTAGAAACCTAGATTGCACGAGAAAATTCATCAACAAATGTAATAAATATTTAAGATCACTAGTATAGGTAATTGGATAAGTAGATAAGGTCCCCATATATCTGAATGAATATAGATCTTTGTTCTTGGTTATGGGTTATAATTGGACATGATGATGCATTAGTAAACCTAACTAGGTTATGGGTTATATTGATATTAGGATTGGATATAAGATCTTTGTTCTCGGTCTTATGATGAATGACACTGGAATCAATCATCCGGAATGATGAGCATGTGAAAAACAAGTAGACGATGTACAAGACCGTGTTGTATTAGCCGTAGGAGTGAAACCAATCTAGAAGGGTTTTCCTTGCTAAACGACTGTGGTCGCAACATCTTCAGCATAGGCTACTTGGGGTTGTTAGTCTACGCCATGTGTTTGTAATCCTTGAAATAGAATCAATGGATGTTTTTATACCTACCCTTTTTAGTATTTCTGGCACTAGAAGTTGCAAATGCTGATATTTAGACGGCTGTATGGTGAGTTACTCATGTACATTTTCCGAGCGAGCACTGAATGCTAATGACTGAAATGTTGTGTGGCTATGTAGCAATGGGCGAGCACTGGAAAATTTGGGAGACAATTAGGGAATGAATGTCATCATGTCCATTTTAGCCAATTGCTCCTCAACTTCAACATCTAGAGTTACAGGGAAGAAAGCTCGAAGCTCCCTTACATTTGAAGTAGCACCCGAACACAAAGTACATATGGACATGGATTCCTAGCCTTGAAGGAAGACTACAAGTGCTCCCACATTTTCTTTGTGGTAGGGTAATTTTGGGTGATACTTGGCACTTGTGGTTCCATTGCATTCCATAGCGCCATTCAGGTTCCACTATCATTGATCTTTCACTCCCAGATTTTAAGGTTTGGAGGGTCCTGACTCAAATAATCATGCTTGTCCAGACTTTCAAGACTGATTTGGACAAACATATTCCATTGAGCCTAATTCACAGATTGTAGTTTAATTGGAATATTCAAAATAGCATTACACATGGAATTGTAACAACACTAGCCTGTGATTCTTGAACTGGAACTTGGTATCCCTGTGAAGAATTTATACTAAAATCTGGAACAAGACTTCAGATGAACAAAATGATTCAGACAATGGTGTTTCTGACAGCTATAAACCCACAAACAGGTGATGATTTCTGGATTAGTAGCACTAAAACAGGTAAACAGAAAGAGGGCAGGGTCAGCGGCGTGGCTAGGGTTTAATCACATCAGAGACAGCGGAGGGTTGCTAGGGTTTCGTCACACTGAAGACAGTTTCCATTGCACTGGAAGGAAGGGGGGGTGACAACTTAGTGAAGTACATCAAGTGTGTGTGTCAAATTTTATAAAATGCCTCTTGCTAGCTTAAACATGTGGAAAGGATGCAGTGCTTATTACTTATCTTGAGGATGAACAAGATAAAATTATCAAGTTCCACTCGTTCTAGTGAATTGTTATTGATTTGCGTGAACATTCTGTTTGGCATAATAGTTAAAAGGCCTGACAACCAAATAATTAGTTAGTGTATGCTTGTTCTTTGTCGTTCACCTTCTTTGTATTTGTTACCCATCAATATGACCATGTAAACTGCTGCTATTTTATTTGACATCGACAGTGTTAACTTGGGAACATGTTAATATCATCCCTGACGAGTGCCCTCTGGCTAACTTGCACCCTTTTGACTCTGTTGAAATATTACCATCACTTTTATCATGTCTGAACTACTGAGAAGTTAAAATTTCTTGTGCTACTATTGCTCATTGCTTTCACTTATGGGGAATTACTATTGTGTTTGCTTTAAACCTTTCACCTGAAAGCTATTTATGCAAAGCGTGTTTCAAAGCCATCTCTCATGAAATCCTGTTCAATATTGAAGAAAAAGCACAAAACCTAATATCTTATTGTTTAAAGCTTTGTTCGCTTTGTGAGCACTCCCGAGATTCTGGAACGTGTCTACACCATAGAATCTGAAATCCTACAGATTGAAGAAGCAATTGCAATTCAAGGAAACAATGATCTTTTGGTGAGCATTATGAGCAGCATATATATTAATATATCATGTCAGGATAAACTTGTTCTTAATCTAAGTGTTCACCATGACAGATAGATGAACAACACAAAAAGCCCGTGGCAAGCAATGAAGGTATTATATAGTAAATGACATGCACCATGCAGCATTTCCATTTCTGTTAGTTTTTAACTTGGTATTAAATTCATACCATAACTTTTTGCAGGAAATAAATCTACATGTGACGCTGATGATGAGAAGGCAATTGTCATTTACAAGGTAACGAATCATCAAGTGTGCTCATCACCTGATGTGTTTTAATGTTTAATCATTTGCTATTAATTCTGTTTTTTTTTTCTGTTGGCAGCCTGGTGCCCATGAGACTGCTGGTTCCATTGACAAGGAGAGAAATTCAAAGTATTGGTGCTTCCTCTCTTAAGTTTATTGTTCATCAATATGCGTCTTAAGTTGATTATGAGTGTTGAAACCCAACACTTCCCCAATTTTTAATATGATCTTTACATTTCTAACACTATTTTTGTTCATTATGTATTTCGTATAGTTTACTAGTTGTCAATTTTTTTACTAAATAAAATAAATGTATATCATGAATGAAGTTTAAAGTAGTCTACTTGACTATCGAAGTCAAATCAGGACATTTGTTGTGGAGTGAAGAAGTAACTTTTTGCCTAAGGTGGTTGGTTTTTGTTTGCTACATATTAGAAGCTAAAGTACTGATGCATTGTTTCATGGTGTAGTTAACTACAGTCACTCACACTACAAAGTGGAACATGTGTGTCACATTATCTTGGGGTTTAAATACCTAATAATGAGGGATTTTATATCCCTTGTTAGTTAAGTGCCTGACTTTTTAGAAAACCATGGGACCAGACCCTACACTATGTAAAATTACGTTAATACCGAACCAGTCCTTGTCCAGTTATACCCATCTACTTTCCTATCCAAGGTCCCATTTTGGGGGAGTGAAGTACTAGCACTTTTTTACTTAGAGCTGGATCCAACTTTGCTAGCATTTTCCCTAGAGACAGACAAAGGTGGTTGGGTATGCCAGTGAGAGTTTGGGTCCACTCCTATTAATTTCTGTCTTCCACAAATGAATCATCTATGTTGACAAATTAGTCAACTATGGTGACTATTCTTCCATAGTTTGCAAGTGTCCTCAGCAGCAATTCTATCAATCGCTTCTGTTAGCTGGGTCAATTGTATTCAAGACATCAGGTGCAACAAGGCTCAGAGGTCTCCGTTTGGACTAGGAGTGAGGTGACATGCTTGCCTCATTGTACGAGGCTCATTGTAGTGTACATGCTAGAAACTGAGGAACAGTAATATGCCATTTCTAATGATTTAGAAGTGTACAAATGCTGCATGTATATGCACAAAATCTAACTTAGTGCCACAATTTATGTGATCCTAATGGATTTTTGAGCAGCCTAATACATAATTTCCACCCAATTTTCTCCTACAACCCCCCTCAAGCATTCCCTTCCAACTCGCGTTTAGAACTATCAAATAGTGAACCTAATAACCCTTTGGTAAAAAACATCTGCAAGCTGACTGTGTATAGAGCCATGACACTCCTCTCCAACGTCTTGATAAAGTACCTGTCAATATGTGTTTGTTTGATCATGTTGCACCAAATTATGGGTTATGCTAATTTCTAACTTATTATCACAATCTCATTGGAGCATCCCACTTGATCTTCAAATCTTATTACACAGTCTTCAGCCAGAGTAGTTCACACACTCCTTGAGTCATTGCTTGGAATTGTGCTCTGCCCTTGATCTTGCTACCACATTTTGTCTTGATCAACATGTCAAAACTATATCATCCATGCAAACAAGGGTTCTGACTCTCTTCAGTCAAAATGCTTAAACAATGTGTGACATCCTTGACTTCTGCATATCTTCCAAACCATGCCAAGAGATTGTTTTTAGTCCATATTAGTGCTTTTTCAGTCTATGTACTTTATGTTCGGCCAAATTCTTCTCATATTCTGGTGAATTATTCATATTTTTCTCCTCCATATCCCCATGCAAAATTGCATGTTTTATATGGAAATGATGGAATCCTAGGCATCTACTCATTCTCACTATTTTCGTTTTAGAATTGGGGTAAATGTCCCAAGTAGTAGTGTATGCTACGAGTTCCTTAACATTATCAACAAGTCTTTTCTTATACGTTTCAATTGAACCATCTACTCTGTACTTCAATCCACTGCATTCTACGGGCTTCTTTCCTTATAGGCTATAGCATCCTTAGTAATTCTCATGTTCTTCTAATTCTTCCATCTTTTCATTCATGGTTTATCCCAACTTTTCATTGGATAATGCCTCACCCAGGTTGGTGAGAATGGGAAAATAGTGTTTTGGTTGATAAGGGTGACTCTATGTGCAAGTGAGAAGTTTTGAATGGAAGATAATTTGCAAGAGGATATACCTGGCGTTCGGTGCATTCTCTACATCCTTCCCCAAAAGTGATTGGAAAATTTTAGTTTTCATCCTGAGGCTCTATTTCAGCTGGTAGAGTAGGTTTAGAGACGAGTCAAAAGATATTGCTCAAGTATTAGGCCCCGTATTGGATTCTTGATGGTCTTCAAAGTCCACGTTGTGGACTTCACCTTAGATCTTCCAGAACAGTTTTGCTTAGGACTGGTTCAGTTTTGATGGGTGGTTGAAGATTGGGTATAGGTTCTCAGTTAGGCATTGTTCGAGTTGTTCCAGTTGGTGTGTGATGGCACTAGTGTAGTAATGTGCTCTATAGGCCTGGCAAAGGTGCAAATGGTGTGTTTTTGTATGAGTGAGAAAATCTCCAATTCTCCAATCGATATCTTCCCTTTTTAAAGTTCTCCCTAAAGGCCAAGTGTAATGACACTTCTTCATGAAAATCACATCTATATTTCTATATATTAGTTACCTCTATCACTGCTAAAAGTATGGCTTATGTTCCCTATTATTTTTGGGATGGAGTGCAATCAACATATACTACAGTGACAAACATAGTGCTTTAAGCTTAACCTGCCACTCATTCCTTTTCGACTTTTCCTGGAATGACAACAGACAGTGATTTGAAAAAATTATAAGAGAGTACTTGAGCGTTCTTAAATATGTTATGTACTTTGTTTCGAATCAACTAATAAAGTTGTATAAGCGAAGAAAACTAATTTCTAATCTTATAGAAATGGGGTAATATTTTAGTCTCAAACTAAAAAATTTCATTCGCATCACTAATTTGTTATTCAATGTGGCCAGCTGCATATATTTATTTTCTATTTGCGTATATTCAGACTCCAGCTCTTAAATGTTCTTGAGACACGCAAAACAGTGCTGAAGAAAGAACAAGGCATGGCTTTTGCACGTGCTGCGGCTGCTGGATTTGACATTGAGCATGTGGCAAATTTGTTATTGTTTGCTGAATCCTTTGGTGCATCACGTCTAATGTAAGGAGCTATATTTGCATAATAATCCTTACGTGTTGCTGTTTATCGTTTGCATGAATATTACATTCCTTTCATTTTTTTGATGCACAAACAGGAGTGCTTGCTTGAAGTTTGTGGATTTGTGGAAGCAGAAACACGATTCTGGACAATGGGTTGAAATAGCAGCAGAAGATGCAATGTCTAGCAAATCAGATTACTCTGCCATGAATGCATCAGGAGTTGTGCTTTCAAGTATGACCAACATACATAATGAACCCAGGAGTGAGGCTACTTCAGAAACTAAAGAGAAACCAGGCAGCGATCGAAATGCAGGTAAGGACTTACTTGAGCAGTTTTATTATTTAAGTGGGCTCTTCATAATAAAAAATTTGTCTCATTATTTACCACACTTCCTATATTGTCACTATGATCCCTTCTGCCAGATCCAATTATGTAGGTTACAATCTCTTCCCAGTATTAATGTTTGGATATTTCACCCCCTGAGATAACAGTATATATCATCAAATAGAAGCTGCTCCCACTTCCACAGATGAAAGGCTTCTAGGCCGATAGAAATGGTAGTGGGCAAAAAGGAACAACTCGATTGACTAGAATAACCCATTGGATTCTAGAGAACATAGACTTCATGTTTTGACTGGGATAGCCATGTTTTGAACATGCTCCTCAGCAAATTTGAGAAAATAAGTAGCCTGAAGAGTTGCTCAAATCACACAAACAAAGTCTTCATGTTCAATTAAGCCCATGCTTATTCACCTCTGTGCCGGAACTTGTTTGATAGTTTCAGTTGTCATCAGAACTTGGAAAGTAAATATAATTGGAAGTGATAGTGTGAAGATGCACAAAGGTCCATCCCAATTGGTCCCTCTGTGGCCCAGTCAAAGTTAGGATTGGTCCTGCCTCCCAAATACAAGGATCAATCCAGGCCTGCTGGCCCTAAATGGTCTCCACCAGGCCCTATCCTATTTTATTATAACTGTAGGATAATGTGTTAATGTTATTACTTTTATGCTAACATGTTAGGCTAACATTTAATATTTTCTTTTTTCTAATTTCATTTGGATAATATTTTAATAATTATGTTTAATAACATTTAGTTATCTTGTAGTCTTGTTTGGGTATATCCTGGTTTTATTCTGAAGACGTTTTTCATTAACAAATAGCTAAGTAAATTCATTTGTTGTCATTTGGATGACCAAGTTCAGCTGGTCAGCATACAGGACAATTTCCACATCCATTTTTCGCTCCCTGGGCTATGCATTCTTCACCCGGCGGTGTACCAGTATATCAAGCATATCCCATGCAAGAATTGCCCTACTATCAACATTATCCAGGAAGTGGTCCATTTTATCCTCCACCTTATCCATCGATGGAGGATCCTCATTCTAGTGGTGGCCATAGAACTGAACAAAAGAGGCAGTCCATGGATAATAGATATAGCAACCCTGAATCTGAATCGGTGAATGAAGAAAGTTCATTTGGTTCAGAACGACATAAGAGTGCTGGAAAATCTGGTAAAAAGAAATCAGGCAGGGTGGTTATCCGAAATATTAACTACATTAACTCCAAAAGGCAGAATTCCTCAGAAGATGAATCAGAAACAGTTTCTGACACCGACGACGATGATGAAACTGAGAGTGATACACATAAAAGAAGCTTAAGATCCCCAAAGAGAAAAGGTAACCTAAAAGAATCAGAATCTGAGACTGTTAATAGAAAGGAAGCAGATAGTGGCCACTGGCAAGCATTTCAAAGTTATTTACTCAAAGGAGCTGCAGAAGATGGCCGCTCTGCTAATGAAGATATATTTGCAATGGACAGGGATCCTCAAACGAAAAGGCGGCAAAAAACCCTTGCTAATGATCCATTAGCTCATGAAGAACGTGACAATGATGGTGAAGGGCACAGAATTGACATACAGTCCTATGACAAAAATGGAAGGAAAATTGTATACAGGAGCGGAAATGATGATTTTATGGTAGGTGGAAGATTACATGCAAATGTACAGAATTCGTCAGATCTACTGGCCGATAATGGTTTCGAGGGAGTGACTGCCAATTTGGACCGACATGGCTTGCATGCTATTGATGGTGAAGCAATGATGGTTTCCTTGCGTTCAACTTCAGGTGTAAATGACAGTAGAACTACCATCAACATGGATTATGAAATCTCATCCAATACTCAAAATCCAGAAAACAAATCTAATAGAGTTAACTTTGAGCCGCATGACTTAAGCTTGATGCCAGAACGAGGTCTTGAAAAGAGATCTATAGGGTATGATCCTGCTTTAGACTATGAAATGCAGTTAGCTGAAGATGCTGCTTCACATGAGAGAAAGAGCAAGGAGGCTTTGACTGATGTGAAAAAAGGGTCTAAAAGTGCAGAAAAGCACCAACAGTCAAAAGCTAACCAGGCTACTTCAGATAAGAAGTTTGGGGGACCTATAAGGAAGGGAAAACCATCGAAGATTATAAATCCTCTAGAGGATGCACGAGCACGTGCGGAGAAATTAAGATCCTATAAAGCAGATCTCCAGAAAATGAAGAAAGAGCAGGTACTATTGCTGATTATTTTAAAATTTTAGAATGATATAAATTAACTTTGTCTTTTGGTATCACATCATTCATTGTCTTTCCTGTACCTTTTTATCATATTTCATATTCATTTCCCTAGCAGGAATGATCAATCTTTCTGTCAGTACCACCTATGCTTAAATCTAGTTTCTTTTCAGCAAGATGCAGAACATAAAAGACTTGAAGCTCTAAAGATGGAGCGGCAAAAGAGAATTGCGGCAAGAGCCAGTTCCATGTCTGGTCAGTCTACAGTTCCCACCAAAAAACAGTTACCATCTAAACTTTCCCCCATGTCCAACAGAGGATCCAAGTTCACTGATTCAGAGCCTGGATCGTCATCTCCTCTGCAAAGGTCCAAAATAAGGACTACTCCCTTAGGATCCAGCAATTCAAAGAAACCCTCAACAAGCAGCAAATCAATTGATGGGAGTAATTCGGCAGGGAATAGATTGACTAGATCCATGTCATCCATGTCGGATACAAAGAAAGAAATCAATCCTGTTACTCCTGATTCAAAGGCTTCTATGACACGGATTAGAAGACTATCCGAACCTAAAAAGATCAACAGTCATGCTGCTACTTCTTTCAAGACACGGAGTGCAGATCCTGTTTCAAAACCAAAATTATCCAATGGGCCTGAGAGCAAAAGGGTTTCTGCTATTATGAACCTTGATCGAAGTAAGGCTGCAATGCTGCCTGAGCTGAAGATCAGAACATCTAAAGTACCTTCAAAGCCAAGCCAAAAGATTTCAGGCACAAAGGAAACTGTTGTGAAGGTGAAGGATGACAAGCATGTTGCAACTTCTGAAGTTGTTAAACTGAATTTAAACGAAAGGTTATTGCATCAGAGTGATGCTGCTGACAACCCCATTATTGAAAAGACTGTTATGCTTGAACATAAGCAGCCATCAATAACTGTGGGAACTGCAGCTAGAGTAACCAAGGAATTTGATAGTAATCATGGAATAGGGAAGAATATCGAGGAAGATTGTGCAGCCAGTCATGAAGTGCCTTTGTCCATGGAAATTGTTGATAAGGGGACAATTTCAATCCAATTACAGAAAGATCCTAGATCTTGTGAGGTAAAATCAGTGATAATTTTGTGTATTTTTCATCACATACTCTGTTCACCCTGTAACAAATGCAACAATTTCCTTTTACGGGATGTCAAAGAAATAGATGCAATATTTCCTTTTTGGTTAAGAATTGCTCCAAAAAGACCTCTTTCTCTAATATAAGTAACCATTAAAGAATATCGATAGTGTGTGGTTGTGGTCCATGGCATCTTAATTTTGTCATTATTCAGGGGTGTTCAAACACTAAATCAGAAGTTGCTATTCTAGTTATCAAGTTGCACAGATCTACTTTATTCTCACAACTGCAAACAAATGCTTATTGAAAAGTTTAACTATATCACTTACTTGAACCCAGAATAAGTAGAGTATGAAAGCAAGCCAATGGGTCGAAAGCATGGCATTGAGACCTTAAGCAACCTATTAGATAATTACACTCCTGAAGCTGGAGCATTGCTCAACTTTCAACATATACGATCTATATATGTTGTTCATGTACATTGGCTGAATGATCTCCATGATGCACCTATATCAGCTCAACCAAAGCAGGTTGGCAGAAGTACCAACGACCTTTACTTGAGCCAAGTTCTCATCCACCACTTCATTTGAACACCAGTTAAATATACAAGTCTAAGAGATGTGCATAGCTGCTTCTTTTTCACATACATCTCCATCAAACCAAACATAGGATCTCCCATATCTTCTACCATATCACATGACCGCTAAAATTGTCCAAGGAATAGCTTGATGCTCAGGGGTTACCTTTAGAAGTAGAAACGCCTTCTTACTCTTCTAGGATAAGAAAGGAGTTTATATGGACTGGTCTTCTAAATCCATCAGAATTTCACACCACAAGATTTCTTTGAAGGAGAGAAGGGGAGGACCATAGAGGAGTCATCATTTAAGAAGAAAAGACAATTTAAAGAATGGTTCCTTTTTAGTTGTCTCTTTCAGTTTTGTAAATCCTCTTCTGTTTACAAGTTGAAGACGATTGATATACATTTTCTAACATAGTGCAGGAGATAAACTTAGGTTACAATATGGGCTTTTTATGTGTATCCATTAATTGATGTACTGAACATTCAGGATATTTCCTCTGATAATTTTATCTTTGAACCTTAAACATTTAGGTGACATGATACCAAATACTTTGCTGTGAACATCACATTGTTCTTCTCATTTTAACTGTGGTAGTCTGGGTTACAGATTGTTTTCCTAATGTTGTTATCCTGCTGATCAGGCGAGGAAAAGTTCTATGGAGGAATTGGCTGAAAATCCAGGCACAAGGTCAGCTGAAAAAACCTACCAAGCCCCTTATGCACGTGTTTCATCTTTTGAAGACCCATCTACTAGAAATTCAGACTATGCCAAAGCACCTCAGACAACCTTTGGGATTGCGTCTTCGGGTGGGGGAACTGAAAAAGCATATATTTATGATTTTAACAACTTGAAGCTGGAAAAGATCCCTGAAGTCCTTGAGAAGCCCCAAGTAAAGGAAGCAAAAGGATTCAGACGACTTCTGAAACTAGGAAAGAAAAGCCACAGCCCTTCAGATACGGCAAATGGGAATGGTTATGAACCAGATAATGTTACATTGAATGATGCTACTTCTGGTGAAGGTAACTCCTAATTGCTTTATTGCTACGCTCAATGAAATATGTTAAGTACATTGGTTTTTCTCAAAGGATATGGAAGGTCTAGTACTCTAGTTGTAATGAGTATAAGCAAATAGGAACTCTTGTTTTTCATAACTGAACTGGATTCATATCAAAACTAAGCCAACAAATCCATGTTGGTGATTCTAGTGTCATCAAACATTTCTAGTGTAGTTGTGATTTACTTTAGATCAATAGGGTTCATTGGTTATACGTGGTGCGGAGTGCACTCATATAAGCTATCGTGGACCTAAGATCAGCATAAAGTGGGGTTCAAGGCGAAGGTTCTAGGGGCAGAGCCCCTTGCCGATATGTGCCAAGTTCTATTCAGAAGGCATGTAGTCTTCTGAACTTCTATTCTGAAGGTGTGTAACTTTCTGACTTTATACTCAGAAGGCGTGTGGTCTTCTGAACTTCTAGTCAGAAGGCATGTAGCCTTCTGAACTTCACTTCAGAATATGGGACTTAAACTCGGAATGAATTTACTGTTGTTTTGATCTTATCCATTAGTAGTTATTTGATGACTGTTCTTATCTTCAATAACTACTTAACCACCCAAATTAATTGGCGAATAACTACATATTTAAGGAGTTTTAGATCTCAATTTAACAGACCGAAAACACATCTGTGTTCTGCTCAAGATTTTGCCTTCAAATCTTGAGTGTGTATTTGGATTATCTCCGAGTAAATTTCATGATACCCATAGGCTGAAACGGGGTCGAAATATTTTTTTTGAAAGGCAATAAAATGGAATAAAAGTATGGTTCGACCCTGTTTTATGGACAGTGATTCTATCCAAGCTCTTTTCATCGATATCTAATAGCCATACCCAGTTTCTAACATCCATCATTTAAAATAAAATGTGTCGGAAGTTGAATATTCATTTAGGCAGCTTTCCTTATGTGTGGCTGTGCTTATGCTACTCTCCGATGATTGAATAAAAAGCTAATGTCTTGTATCCACGTTTGTAACCACATGATCGACAAGATAATCAATCTTCCTGCACCATCACTCTTATCGATTGAATACCTTATTTATAGGAATTAGACATTTGTTGTTATTTAAGAGCTGATCATGTAAAAAATAAATCTTTGCACTAACAGAGTAGGAAAAAAAATAATGTCTCATAAAGCAAAGAGCTCTTCACAAGTTTGGTGTTGCCTTCTTAGAACACAAGTGACTTCTAGCATTCAACCTTAAATGAAAATATCCATCCTTGCTGTGTGTTATATGGTGGAACTAATGAAATAATAAAGATATCATGTGGATCTACAATTCAAGCAGGAAGTTGGCCTCTATATAAATGTAGGGATCCTTTATTTACTATTCCATTCAATAGCTTGTATTTTAGGAGTTGATGTATGATTTAGTAAATAAGTTTTATTAAATTTATTTATTTTGCCTATGAGTCTTACTTTTGAGCCAAAATATAATATTGGTGGACAGATTTAGGAGATCCAACATAAGATGCTCTAAGGATTTCAAAATGAGGCAAATAAATAACTTTTACAATACAATGACCACAACTTGCATTACATGATAACAGAGGGGTTAAACAAAATCCATCTTATTTTCACCATCACTATTCTAACTATTAGTATTTGCTGACTTTATGGATATTTCAGCAGTTCAAACATTGAAGACCTTAATCTCTGAAGATCAAACTCCCAGTCATGCTCATACTTCTCAAAAGTGTGAGTTTTTAGCTATATTCTACTCTATTAGATTCCAACCAATTTTTTGCTTTTCGGTTGACCTGAAAGTAGGAATGGTAAGGGTGTTTGTGTTGACCTTTAATGTATCTGAGTATTTGATTGTTTGTTTCTACTTGACAGCTTCAAGACACTTTTCTCTATTGTCCCCCTTCCGTGGGAAGACCAAGGCAACAACGACATGAAAAATGGCGGCATTCGTATTACTATAAATGTCTTACTCAAATTCCTGTTCCGGGGTTTTGAAATATGAATTAGATCAGCAATCAAAAATGATGTTCAATCTTGTATGTATGCATATATGTATATGATGCCAAACTCAAATCAATTTGGTATCCTAAAATAGTTATACAGTTGTTGGTTTTATCTGAATTTATTATATGGTTTTGACAAGGGGTCGTAGTCATTGGCATGCAGAATTATTAAGCTCTAGGTCAAAATAAATTAAGCTATAGACATTTAGAGTGGCATGCAAATAATACCCATTTGATGGAACTTTTCAAGCTATACATAAATCTTTGTGCAGTGTATCCATTGATCATTTTGAGAGGGAACGAAGGCCCCAACCAATCATCGTGATCTGTAGGGTCCCAAATGCATTGGGGCATTGTTTTTTGGAAGATCTATCTCGTGTCTGGTACTGCACGGTTCCACTCTGCAAGAACTCCGAATCATTCTCTTGAAGCTCATCCTCTTCATCATAAATCATCCGCTTGCCCCGAAATGACCTGGACCAATAGGGAAATCCCAATTCATTGGGCCTTTTGATACAATCAAATAGAAAGCCCCAAGGGGGCCATATTCTAGGAGCCCAAATGGGGCTCTGAAGCTAGGTTTTGATTTCATCTTTTCAGTCTTGGGAGTAAAATTCTGTAAATTTTTAGAAAAGAATCATAGTTTTTGGTGCTAGAAGGAAATTACTGGATGGTCTTTTTGTAAATCCATTCGGTCCAATACAGTGATTTCGTCGTTGGTGTTCTTTTCGACATGAGATACATGGTTATTGGGGATCTATTCTTGAAAATGGTTTGGTTTTCATCTAAGAAATCATAAAGCACTTGGCATGTTGTGTCATTCTCTATAAGGAATTATAGGATTACTTTGATTGTTAGTAGTATCTAAGATGGTGGTGGTTATTAAATATGGTTATGGCAGAAGTCTCCAGATATCAAGAGGTGGGATCATATGTCTGACATACAGAACCTTGTGTTTAGGGTGTTGGAGGAGACATTCTTTCTTGATGCAGAAATTGACACCATTTTGCACCTCATACGACGACGTATCTATGGTTTTCCTATAGTGATCCTCAAGATGTTTCCCAATATGTCATTGTTATTGGTGCGTTATAAATTAATGGGAAAACAAATGAGAAAGCCTACCGTCATTAACCGGGTGTTTGAGATTGTTTATTTTAGGTGTTTTTTGACTTATTTTAGTTTGACACGGATAATAAGTTAAATGCTAGTGTTTGGATGAGGACAAATAAAACTGGTTATACCAGTGCCAAACCGGTAATAAGCAGTTTTTGATAAGTTAATTCTTCATGACTTATGAAAAACTGTTTATTACCAGTTTATCATTTTAACCATGTTTTATTAATGTTTGTTAATTATTAATCTTATTGATATAAATTTTTGTCAAATATATTATTATAAATGATGAAAAATAATTTTTTACATGTTACTTTATAAACAATAATATGAAAGACTGCCTTTTTTGGTCATTTTACATATATAAGCAAAATTTGTCAAACACTAAAAAACAACTTATCAGCTTATTATTTTTTGGTATCGCTATAAGCTAATCCAAACACTTTTTACAAAACTCCGGTTTGATACCACGTAAGTTAATAAACATTTTTTACAAAAAAACATAAGTTGTTTTAAATAAGCAAATCCCAAACACCCCTAAATGGGAAGACAATGTGATTAGGTACCGTCATTAGGTACTTTTTTGGAAGGTATGCAAGCCTCAAATCAACACTTTACAATTCTTGCATCATAACCAACAGGTCCGGCCTTTACGACTATAATAAGCTCAAAGGCGATGACGACAATGCCGTCGATGCTAAATGTCCAAAGTCACTAAAATTCGTGATGGAGAAATATTTATATAAGGATACAATTGGTACCCGCTACCTACTAGTTAAACTTCTTGTTATGTGTATAATCAACAGAGCATAATTCTTTAACGCGGATCTTAGCCTTTATAAAATAAAGTTTTTTTTATATGGAAAAGTCCAAAAAAACCCAATGGACTTTACTGCTTGGAACGATTAAGTTCTTAGACAATTTTTTGGAACAAATAATCATTGGACATTCTAGGAACTGTTAAATAAGTCATTGGACATTACAGAACCTGTTAAATAAATCCTTGGACTTTCTAAAATCTGTTAAATACATTTTGTTAGTGGAAAAAGTTCGAAAAAACCAATGAACTTTCATATTTTGAACGATCAAGTCCTTAAACATTTTTGAACGGAAAAAGTACTTACATTTAAAAAAAAAAAACAAATATACCATTCTCATTACTTTTCATAAAACATACAAAAGTTGTATCAAAAGCATAATAATCTGCATACAAATTTTGGGCATAATTTTACCAAAAGTTAAACCAACATATATACCAAAAGTTGAACCAAAATATGTAACAAAAGTTGCGCCAAGAAAAATACTAACAATTGCGCCAAATATACCAAAAATTGCGCCAAAAAATACCAACAATTGCGTCAAATATACCAAAAGTTGCGCAAAAAAATACCAACAATCACGCCAAATATACCAAAAGTTACGCCAAATATACCGAAAGTTGCGCTAAAATACCAAAGTAATGCCTAATCTATGTTAAGGTCATGGTATGAACTATTCTTCATTTGCATCATTAATGTCTGGTGGAGATATAGCCATTTGACTTTCTTGTAACCCTTCTTGATGTCTAACAACATCATCACTTGCATGATGTTTTTCATCACCAACAGTAGTATCACCTTCATCATGGTCTTCATCGTTAACAATAACCTCTCTTGAAATTGAATACGGTAGGATGCCTTCGGGCCATGCTGGACACACCTGAGGATTTCTTTAATGATGAAGATAAAGTGTAAGTAATAGTCATAAAAAATGTTACTTAAATCTGAAAAACAAATAATGGCTTACCCCAATCAATGCTTCTCCTGTGACTGGATTATAAGAGACCCCTACATATGATGGTATCCTCCCATCTCTATTGCCTTTTCCACCTCTATTGCCTCTTCCACCTCTATTGGCTCTTCTTGTTGTAGTCGGTTTTGGAATGTTGAGTTTTGGTCTACCTTTTGGCTTAACAAGTTTAGGTGGTGGGTTCTTCTTTTCATTCTTACAAGTCCTAGCATTATGTCCCGTTTTCAAGCAATTGCTACATGTCATTGCCTTCCCAGATTGAGTCACCCTTGTACTTTGGCTCTCAGATTCTGATCTTTTTTCTTTTGTTGGATGGTCTACCAGGCATTCTTCTTTCCTTAGGTGGGTTTGGTTTGATGTAAGGTGTTGGAGTCCACATGTTGCTCCCATTCAATGGTCTTATAGTATTCTCATAGGTCATTTTGAAGAGATCCTTAGTAAACCAGTTACTAACATAATCCTCTAGATCTTTATTGATAAAGTGTATGGCAACAATGGAATGCACACAAGGAATGCATGATATGTCCCACAATCTACAACTACATTTTCTAGCATCTAAGTCTACCACCATTGCTTCAAAACCGTTTCGTGTTTCAAATACATTCCCACCACTAGGGATAACATACCAATATCTACATATGAAAAAGAATACATTAGCCTACAAGATCATATTACCATCATAGACTAGCATACATAATAAAATTACCATCATAGATAAACATACCTGTGATTTTCTCCCCATTTCTTTAACTTTTTTCTTATGGCCGGACAAACAACTGATTCCCATTCTTGTGCTTTGCTTAACATTGTAATGTCTCTCCATAACAAATATCCTTATCTCCTCTAACATTGTGATTATGGGTTTTCTTCTTGCATCAACAATTATTGAATTAAATGACTTGCAAATCCCATTTTCTATAGCTTCACAAGCTCTACCGGGTTGGAAAAATGCCCTACAGCATGTATTAGGGTCCCTTTCAATCAAGCGATTATATGCATCAATGTTTTGTATCGTAAACTTTTCCATGTGTGACATGAAATCTGCCTCAAAAGTGGATGTAGTTGTTGCCCAAAAAATGTTTCTGTACTCAACACCATTAAATCTTTTATGAAAATTAGCATATATGTGTCTTGCACATTGTCTATGCTCTGCATACGGTGCCAACTCTTTTACAGCTTCAACAATGCCCTATTGCATAAAATTGCAAAGAAATTCATAGTTAGAATGAGATGTATGAGGTAAGTTTGGTGCTAACACCTCACAAAGGACATTTATGAATGGTGACATTGAACTTCACTTCGTTCCAACTGATTACCAGCTCGCTGACCTTTTCACCAAGCCTCTTGATGAGACAAGATTTAACATCTTGATCAGCGAACTGGGGATGCTAAACGCTGAAGAATAATTTTCTTCAACTATAACATCACTCAGTAAGTGAAATGATTCAGTGCTCTATCTCTGTCATTGAACTCTTGAGCAAATGCATCTATTCTCTCTAAGGTATGTTTACTTATTCCTTTTTCTTAATAACTTAAAATATCACTGAAGCATTCTTTTTTCAGTCATCAAATCGTTTTAAAAGTTTGTTTCAGTGATTCTTGTACTCGCTTAACATTTTTATAAGTATATCTCTCTTATACTTATCTTTTCTTAAAAATCAAAATGATCACTGAACTTTTCCTATTCAGTGATTCAAATGTTTTTAAATGATAGTTTCAGTGATTCTCTTTCACTGACACTGAAGTCTTAAAACTATCACTAAAGTCTTTCTTTCTTCAGTGATCAAAATGTTTTAAAAGGTCTATTCAGTGATTCTTCTAACACTAAATGAGACTCTTCGTTTTCTTAAAAACCTTTTCGTTTTTAAAAGAAATAGTTAATGAACCGTCTTTATGATGACATTCTCTGTTTACAATGCACAATGCTTTGGGACGCGCAAAAAGGTCTGTCATACGTGACCTCATTTAATGTCATCCAATCATGGATGAGAACGTGCCATCTTTTTCATCATGGTCTTTTCCTCAACTATCGTCTTTCTCTCTCTCCTATCTTGTTTCTCTCTTTTCCTACCTATAAATATGAGATATCTTCCTCACATTTTTCTTTACGCTTTCAAAAACTCTAGACGAACCTCTGTCCTTTTGCAAGCAAGAACAAAAGCATCTACAAACTCTCTTTCGACCTTCTTCATCTCTAAGAACTAAGGTCGATACATTCTTTGTTCTCTTATTTATTTTTTTTCTTTTGTGAAACATACGTTTGATGTTTTAAGAACTCCGTTCTCTTAAAAACAAACATTAATGATTATTAACACAACCTCTTTCTTTGTTATAATCATGTTTCACCAATTATATTCTACTTGAAAACCCTAAAACTTCTTCAAGGATTTTTCAAAAGAACTTTTTTTGTTCAAAACTTAAAAACTATACACAACTCTTGGTTTACTAACATACTGTTTTGTATCTTATTTCTTACCAAAAACAAATGGCTGCCAAGAACATTAACTTCACAATCGACGAAGTTTCCTTCAAAGCTAACAATCACGTTGCCTTGTTGGAAATCCTCTTCAACAAAGCCTTTTACGAGGAAGCGGCTGACTTTCTCAAACGGTCGTCTCTCGCCTTTGCCCTTAACCATGAGCCCATCATGGTTAAAGAAGCCCTTCAGCAGTTCTGGTTCACTGCTGAAGTCGTGGAACTTGAAGACAAAAACGGCCAAAAAGTGGAGAAAATATCCGTCACTTTCAACCGAATGACCGTGAACTTTGGAGTTGCTATCGTGAGAACAGCTCTTTGCCTCCCCAAGGGCCCTTTTGACAGCGAGCTCTCTACTTTCGAGATTATCAAATGTCTCGATGCCATTGGCTATCAATGGCCAATGAATAAGGACTCTAATGAACCCATTAAGTTCTCTCGTTTTATCCAGTCTATGAGTGGAAAAACTGGAGGACAGGACCAGGCCTCTCGTGTTACCCTGACGATTGGAGTTTCTGCGATTCAGCGTCGCAATATAAATTATTTGCGGTCATTTTTTATGACCTGGTGCTAAAGCTGAACAAGCGCCAACGAGAAAAGGTGGTTCCATACACCAGGTTCCTCTCCATGGTTTTTGCAAAAATATTTGCAGAAAAATATTCCAATGAAGGAAACCTCCAAGTATGTAGGCTTGGATCCAAGATTCTGGATCATAAGCTTAGGGAAGGAGACGTTGCACTTTCTTCCATAATGCCCTTCTCTACCTCTTCTCCTCTGGTGGTAAAGACAAAAGAAAACCCCCTACATCTAGCCCAGCCACCAAAACCTCTTCAAAACGATCTTCTCAACCAACTCTTGGTTCTCCTCAGAGAGCCAAGAAGGCCAAAAAAGGGATAGCCACATCTCTGGCTGAGACCTCTCGAAAGGTTTCAGCTATTGAAACTAGCCTTAACCCCGAGACACCTTCAGCTAACCTCCCTAGCTCTTTAGTGATCCCTGAAATCACTATCGTATCAGTGGTACCTATCCCAACCGCTTCAGTGACCCAAATCACTGAAGGTGTGAATATCAGCGTCGCCACCGCTGACCACCCATAAGTCCTCTCAGCCATCTTCTCTTCTCCTCCTTCTTTGGTCGCTACACGTGTTCATGATTCATCAACGAATATCCTCCCTGATGATGAAACACACACCACTGGACCTGAGGTTGCTCCTTTCAAGGCTCCTCAGTATACAGATGTTCATCCTCTCGAGGGCATCATCGAGCAAGCCAATGCCAATCTTTTTGGATGTCACTGATGGCCCCTCAGGTATTCCATCGTCCTACCCTTTCTTTTCCTCTAACCCTGAGCCTCTCTTATCTCACTCTCATTCTCTTACAGGTCCTTCTGTGGTTGACGCCATTGACGAGGATAAGGATGACGTGATTGACGAAGATGACGAGGATTATGACATGACATCTGACGTCAAGCTCCTCCTCCCAGCCGTCGATATTGTGTTCTACAAGATGACTAAAGTACATCGTGATATGCCTTGCAAGGCAGATATTGATGCGGACCTCTCAGCTGTCAAAGCTGATGTTCAAGAAGTTAGGAGCCAGCTCTCGACTCTTCATGAGGCTGTTCGAGCCAATGCTGAAGCCATCGTTCTTTCCAGCAGGGCTGATGACGCTCAGGCTCAGTCTCTCCAGCAAACAGAGCTTCTCCAACAGGTCCTGGATGCTGTTCGTTAACCAGTACCAGTGATCCTGCCATCTTTCACCGCTGATGACCGCGCTCAGCTTCATGAGACGTGCGAAGCGATGACAAACCTAGCCAACACTTTATTGTGGCTAAAGGAGATGATGGTTCTCCAGCATCAACGCGTGGACGAACTCTGTAGTCTATACTCTCAAGTCTTAACCAGAGAGGGGGAGATAAGGTCCAACGCTGCTGGGCTATATGTTGCTCTAGCAATCCATGACGCTGAAGCTGAAGCTCCTAGAGCTGACGCTGAGATTGCCCATGCTATCCCAACCTCCGGTGAAGCTGTTACAGCTGAGGAAGTTGATGCCATCCTTCAAGATGATGACCTTCCCATCATCTGTGTACATGTTGCTGGTGATGTGGAAGAAGAAGTTGATGAAGATGATGATGATGAAGGTGATGAACCTGATCTTCCAGACTCCGGCAGTGACCTCGATGGCGATGACGACGACGATGATGAAGATGACTTCACCATCCAGTATCAGTGTCCAACAACCGCCACCAAAGGAGTCGCCCTCGGGAATTCTGCATCCCAGGGGGAAGCACTTCAAAGAACCAAGACCCTAAGTCGAAAGGAAAAGGTGTCGCTGAAGAAGGGAACCTGAAGGTATTATTTCAAAACCCTCAACCTTTATATGAAGACCCTACCTCTCAGGTAGTTGTTACTTCACTGTATCAACTTCAAATCCCTTCTACTACATGCGGTCGACTGGAGTGGGTCCCTGATAACCCTGTCTCCAGTGCTCCTACCGACCAGCAGATGGCTCAGCTTAAGGAGTCGCTCGACCAGACTAGAGTAAAAATCCCTCTTCGTACCTCTAGTGGTGGTGAGTTTGACTTCCTTTCTAAAGCTGAAAGACTCGAGGCAATAAGAGGTGAAGAAGAGCTAGAGCTTCAGAAGAAGTAGACTGAGGACAACCTAAAGCTGGCCAAGTCACTAGCTGAAAAGGTTCTTCCAAAGAGAAAGTCCAAAAAGAAGGTGAACGTTGTTCAAGCCCAAGCTAAGCTACTCTCTCTTGCAGAAGCTGAACACGAGAAAAATCTGAAGCTGGCTGAGTGGGACAAGCGCTGGAGCGAAGCAAATCTGAAAAAGAGAATCAGTCCTCACCCGATCAAGAGCGTCAGCATTAGCGGATGATCCAAAGACGGTGGAACTCTTCTCTCAATGCTCATCACTAGGGACAATCTCGATGCCATTACCGAGTACCCTTCCTACCTTGGCCAATATGGATACAGCGAATGGCTGGAGATCAGACAAGTCATTCAGCGATCCAAGTCCAGACATAAGCCGATTATCGAAGACATAATCAACGATCTCATCAAAAGGATGTCCAGGTATATCGCAGTCCCTAACAGACCATCTCTGAAGAAGGGAGGAAGGAAGAAAAGACCCTCTAGTCCTAGTGATGGATCATCCCTAAGGAACGAACATGAAACAAAGTTCTCCTTAGATGAAGTCCTAAAGAATCGTGAGAGTCCAGACATTTCTATGCTGAATCTTGATCTGCCAGAGAATGGTCCTTATACACCCAACTCTGTGCACTTTAGACCTGAGTTAGGAGTTATATTCTTTGACTATGAAGGTGAAATAAGATTTCAGAGAATGTCTGAGTTACGTCTATGCCCGATGGAATATTTGGTTTATCTTACGTTCTGGCTAGATTACCCAACTCTGTGGACCGAAGGATACGAAGAGAATTTCTACGTCGAAAGAAGCTTGGAGAAGATGTACCTCGTTATATCTATCTAGACGACTTAGACTAGTTTATTTTTCTTTGTAATATTGTCCACATTTTGTAATCTAATTACTATGTCTACTTTCATTGATTAATCTTACATTCTATAAGTATTAGACATGTATTGAACATCTTGTAATATTTCCTTTGAAAATAATATAAGTGTTTTTGTGCTTCACTGAAAAAGATGCTTGAAAAAAGTAATAGGGACACAAGTCTATGAGTTCCAGTATTACTTTTCACGTTCACTGACAATCTATAAGTCACTGAATAAGCTTTCAGTTTCAGTTTCCATTTTTGTTACTTTTCTTAAATGTAACTTAAGAAAATTTCTCCAAGTAAATACTGACTCACTGAAAAAGATCCCAAAATAGTTAAAAGGGACATGTACTTTATATGTTACTTTTCCTTACTATTATTTAATAAGACAACTTTCTTTATGTTGTCTTGTTATCATCAAATAGGGGGAGATTGTTGATCCCCTAACTAATTGATTTGATGATAATCCCTTTTACCTTATACGAAGTATTTATGTTTCTGTTTTTCAGTTCCAGCGATCATCACTGAGTCTGTTCAGTGATCGCTGAAGAACTTGTAATGTAAATCCAATCAGCGACAACGATACTTCAAGAAGAAAAAACTCATACCAAAGAACCTTCAGCGAAAGTCGAACACTGAAACTGAAGATTAGAGACTGGCGATTACGTGATTTGAAGCGGTATTCAGTGATTACAACCTTGTCTACATATGTGTAAAGACTGCCTAAGCCTCAACGAATGCTGAAGAGACCTTCAGGTTATTCCAGCATTCAGCGATCAAAGAAGCTTGTTGAGCACGATTGTTTTTGTCTTGTCCTTACACACAAAGGACAAACCCATATCATTTCTAAATGTTAGTACGATACGAACCCGATTAGTTGACTCTATTACCCACCAACTTTGTGAAAGGATGTCTGCTTATGAATAAGCTTTTGTACTATTCACTGTAGTAAAGGACAAGCCTTCCTCTTAAGGCTTGACACGCGTTCTAACCCTACCATGTTGCATTAAATGTGCATTTAATGCAATGGTTATAAATAGATGTGTTATATCTCCATACAGAGATACTCTTACCCCTTACTCTGAACTTACGCTTAAGTAAAATAACATACACATCTAAGAACAAATACGCTCATCTTCAAGAGCAAGTTAGAATCCCTTTGTTGTATTCTAAACAAGTTCTTTCCCAGATAGAACTTACTTTCTTCTAAGTCTTTAACAGCAAATCTTGTCTTTATTTGCTAAGAATTAGTGTGTAACTTTAGATTATTTAGATAAGTTTATTTAACATATATTTTCGCAAACAATCTTGTAAAATTTGTATTGACCCTTATTTATCAATATATATTTTAAATTTGAAAAGTTTTATGTGTTTGTATTCATCCCCCCTCCCCTTCTACAAACTGTTGTACACATCTTGTAGACCCTAACGGGACCAACCGTTTAACTATGGATATTGCATCCAGAGTTAGTCTTCTTTAAGACTGGAAGGCTCTGAGTCTAAAAAACTTATGCCTTAAAAAAATCTCCATATCACCCGAGCTCTGGAAAGTCATTTTCAGACTTAGAGGCTGTTTGACAGTTGCTGAATGGTTTGGTGCCTAATGATTAAGTGGTTAGAATGATTAAGAGGCTTTCGTGATATAGTGCAAAATGAAATATAATTTTTTGGTAAATGTTTACATTGAAATTAGGGCGCTGAATGGTTAAGAGAGGCTCAAGATACAAAATCATTCAGAGGTTCTTAGAACCATTAAGAGGCGGACTTTTTTTTTTGCCAAACAAGATTAACCTCTTAACGATTCAAATGCTGCCTCTTAATGAAACTATTAAGAGGTAAACAAACAACCCCTTAAACTTGTATTTTGCAAAATCTCTTAAGATCTCTAGAAAGTCTTATTCAGACTTCTGTACTTATCATTTGAAGCAACTAAACTTGATTCATCAGGTAGGGGAAGGACAGTGAGGCGTTACAGTCGGGAAAGCATGGGAAAGGGAAGAGAAACGGGGGTGATCGTCGAAGATGAGTTTGGACATCGCAGACGTGAATGGTAGGGGTTGAGTTATGTTTTGTTTAGGGGTGATTTGGAGGGATGTTTAATGTTATAAAAAAATGAAAGAGAAAAAGGACAAAAATAATAACAAAAGACAAAAATGCCATCACCTAATGGATGAGAGTTAACGGTACTTAATGAAACGTAATCAAGATTTCTACTCAAACCCAACTAAGCTCTGACTTCTGAGTACACCTTCATTGATATTCAAACATCGTTCTCTTTCCTTTATTCTAGTTCATGATTTATGAAAATGCATACTCAAGAGGCTATTTAAGAATAAAAATACTTTGGAGACCAAATCAAGACAAACTTAAAACCACAAGAACCAAATCAAATGTTTTAACTTATTGTAGAATTAAACTAAAAATTTGAATATGATAACATAACATGTTAGAGTGTGATAGATACATTAGCTTGGAAGAATGATTAAGAAAATTTATTCCATGCATAAAATGCATTCATATGGAGCAAGTAGTTATGCATATGAGCATGACATTGTTGGTTTTTGTTTTGATGAAGAATGGACAATGCAAAGAAGAACCAAGTTGTATGATGCAAGTGAATAACTAGCAGGAAATCAAACAATATATAAATTCAAGCAAAATTAGGTTAGACTATGAGATGATAAATTCAGAATCAAACCTACATACACATGCCACCTTTTCCTTCCTTTCCTTCCATTTAATTAAACAGGAATAGGCTTGAACAAAAACAGTAGACAGAAAGAACAGAATCACTCTTTACAAAATGTTTTCTTACAACCTCCCTGCATATCCATATCCATATCCAACCCAAAACCCAACAAATATTTCTTTTTATTCATTCCTATTCCTGTTCCTGTTCCTATTCCTATTCCTATTCCTATTCCTATTCCTATTCCATTTACTGTCCATTAGAAGAAGGATGGTATAGAGTATTATAACCATTCACACCCATCATCAGGTTAGAGTACTGATACCCATCATTATCCATGTTCCTCAAGCTCATACTGGGATAGGAAACATCACAACCACTCATCTCCATTTCCATCTCCATCTCCATCTGCCATTGGTTCTGAATCATTCCATCAATCATATAAGGCTGCGGCTGCTGCTGTAAGTTATTAGCTACTTGTTCAAACTGAACCCCACCACCATAACTATGTTGGAATTCATCATGCCTACTTCTTTCAAACCTACATGAGCTTGTGCACCAACTCTGATCAACTATGCCACCAGGACCAGGGTAAGTTAACTGACGACTTAAATGGTGATGGTGCGCTCCGTTGCTCAAACTTTGAAACAATGGCCTAACCTGTGTTGTGCTCGCCATACCATACTCATCATCCAGTAAATCATTGATGATATCAAGATGAGGGAATTCATCAGCCAAAATACCATGACCATGACGCCCACCAGCAGGAAACTCATTATAAAACTGATCCTGGGATCTGCGGTGTGCAGACTTGTGCAAGTCAAGGTTTTGAATGTCATTAAGCAAACAAGGATCATTGTGTAAGCCCCTACCGTTATTAATACCCGTATGAAGGGATTCCATCCACTGGGATCCATTTTGCACGACGTCATGATTCACCACTCCAAAAGAGAGCCTAGGTCTGGCTGAATCTACCCTTTCAGAGCTCTGAGGTAGAAACATGGGTGCTGATATCATAGGAGGATGAGATGGCTGTGAATACGAGTGAGATGGATTTACCGTCAAATTTGGAGAATGGGGTTGACTGAAAGTCGATGAAGTTCCAATCCCCATCATGGCATTTCGGTATGACTGAGGAACAAGACTCTGGGTCGCAGGTGATACATCAGGACCCAATCGTCCTGCTGCACTCACTGAACGGGGTAGAAACGGTGCTGCTTGGACAGTCGAGACAATAGGGGTGGTAGCAGTAGGTCTGGGCCCTGGAACCAGAGGAGCACTCAAGGGCCTCAACATGGTAGGCACTGTCTGACTCAAAGGCTTCTCTACTGAAACAGACACTTGCTGGGCAGGAGACTTTTCGATGGTCCTTGACACTTGGTGAACAACAGGCTTATCAGTAATCAAGGTCACTTGACCATTTATGGCTTTTTCGGTTGGTTTTTGGGACCCAATTTTATGAGCATGAGGTCTAGATGAGACCAAACTTTCAGCTGAATTTGCTTTATCGATGTTGATGGTTTTGTCTGAAGGTGGTCTTCTGGCAATAGCAGGATCAGAACCTGTGATTTTCTTCAGGTCGGTGTTCTGGCGAACAGCAGGTAGGGAAGTTTTTGGAGGGCTTCTGGGAGAAGAAGGTATAATAGCTGTGTTTTCATTTAAAACTTCAGGATCAACTTCAGCCTTGACACTTGGTTCTTTTTGCAACAAAACTTCCTACAGTATACAATAGACAAATAGCTTTTCGTGTCAATAACTGAGACACATAAAAAATGTAAAAGAAATAATGTAAAGCAATTCTCTGGAAAATAATGTAAAATGCACATCTAATATAGAAAGTAGAAAGAATGAAAAGGTTCATTATATAGCTGATCCTCAATCATTTTATGTGAACAAACATAATCGACCTATCAAAATGATTTCTGAAACAGTTACCACGAAAAAAAACTACCACCATGACTAATGGTGGCATAGATGAGCAGAAGAAAGTTGATGTATATACATCAACCATAAAATATCAAGAAAAATATGTATGGTGAAAAAAGCAGGCCCTTTAATTAAACATCAGACAAATAATATTACGGTGAAACAAACAGGCCCCTTTATTAAACTTCAGTAAGGGGCCCTTTACTAAACACCCTTACCTCACCAATTGAGAAAAACAAGAACCAAAATCTTACCCGGTAAGAGGCATAACAAGGACCGAGAGTCTTACCAGGTAAGTGAGGGAAAAGACTCTTACCTGATAAGCGCCTAACGGTTCAAGACGCTTACCAACAATTCATTTTGATGCCCAAGAATGTTAGATGACAAGGTAAGTGAGGGTAATTTCTTTTGCCGGTAAACGATTACCCGTTAAGCGTTTGGTAAACGGCCCTAAGTAAATGCAAGCTTTGCCCCAGTAAAACACCAAATAAGTTCAATAATAGATGTTTGTCAACAGTAGAGAAAGTAACAAGATCACCTTATGCTGTTCTAGCCACTTTACGCGATCCCACAAAGTGAGTACAGACACATCAGTATCCGCTTCATCCACCTTGCAGCATTTTCCAGCTACATATGAATGTGCTGGCTCAGACATGACATAAGGTGGCTGTCTGTGCATATCATCGGTCTGTCCAGTCACTTCACCACTACTCTTTCCTTTGCCTCTGCAAAATAGAGGACTTCACATCTCATGCACTAAGACCAACACTTTCAAATTACAGAAGCGAAAGAAAGTTGTTACCTTTTCTGATTTTGAGGTGAATTCCATTTGTAAGGCTGATTCACCACCGCTGATGGGAGTGAATCAGTTGAACACGTCGATGAACTATCCTCCATCATTGATGAACTCTTCCTTCCTCCATTGTGCACACCTGTAACCCCATTAGTATCACCTTCTGTGGGTGGCTGACCTTCCCAAGTGTCAGGATTTGAATCCCTATCGTCCGACTCAGGCTGTACAAGTGCCTCAGGAACACAATTGATTGAATCTGAAACATCTGAAACATCCTCAAATGTATCAGATTTTTCAAGCAACAACTCTGCATCCTCAATGAGGAAGCCTTTTCTTCCATCAATTGGGTTCTGTTGTTCAACTTTGTCTTCTACTACAGTACCAGGTTTTTCCTCCCTTCCTTTATCCTTTTGCCTGCGATTATTTCTTTTCTGCTTCACCTGCATAATAACATGTAAAAAGTTACGCATATATTCTAACCATTGTAAGAGTTTCGTTTTTTATATGCATCTAAATTGTATGAATTAAGCAACTACCAATTAGTCACTTACAGAATTAAGGAACTTTAAACTAATAAAAACTTATGTGATACAGCATATTAATAAACTCAACGAAGGTTAAACCCTCAGTCCCTCTCCATGTTTTACTGCCTAACTTGGGAACATAACGCAAAAAACTTACCATCCAACATCAAATTTTAAAAATAGGCAATGAATAATGATAATTGAGTCTATTTCACAATTCAACCCTTTCATGCCAAACCACTTAAGTTGCCCAGAAGACCAATTGGCCACTTTTCATCACTTTTACACTGGTTATAACGAACCTGCTTTTTCTTTGCTCTCTTTTCCTTTTCGGATGCACCACGTTTTGTTTTCTGTTCAATCCCAGTCATCCATGCTGCCTCTTCTTCACGTATGAGCTCCTCTTGCCTTTTCAAAGCAACAGCCTCCTGGTATGCAACTTCTATTTTACTGCTGTAACACACTGGCGATAAGAATACTTACAATACAAGAGGACAAGTTTAAATGTCCAAAAGCATCAAATTCCAATAGAACAGTTAATTTAGTACAATCACAATGAAATTTTTGTATTCAATATATTTAAGGAAATTAAGGTAATATAGGAAGAAAAAGAAACATAAAAAAATCTACTTTGGGTGAAAGAACTTTATGATCATACAATTGAAATCAGACAACAGTAAGGCTTATGCGACTATATATAACCAAACGCTGGTGACAGTGGTTGAATTAAGCTACTTTCTTCGCCATTTTAATGTTTTCCAATGTACCTTGCAAATTAATCTGATTTCATTTAGCAGAAAAAGTGACTTCATACATCCAATTTCATAGTTGGTATTTTCTAACCCTTCAAGAGAGTAGAAGTTAGAATTATTGAATCATTGACAAGAAATAAGAAAGCTCTTTCTGCCCTTCATAAGCAAATGCCAGGATACACAGTCGCTTGATTAATAAAGAAGTAGAAACCAGTTATACAGTAGCCAAATTTGTCAACATGCAGCCACCCACCGTAGAATTCATCTACCAACACCTCAACTTTAAGTTGCAATCCACAATAAATATATGTCATAAATAGTTTAATGCACTCTGCAATTTGATAAAAAAATGACTATCATGTATAACGGAAGCATTTGACACAATGCTTAACTATATACATAGATGAATCTACAAATTCCTAAAGGAACAGGAAAGGTATGACCTAAGTAGTACAAGGTGCACAATCTTGACTTACTGGCTGGCACTTAGGAAAGTTCAGCAGCTAACTATCAGGGCCTGTTTGTTACCAGCTTAATGAGCTTAATGGGACTCGCAACTTATTCGGTCAGCTATACATGACTGTTTGGTAGTGGCTTAATAATATAGAAAGTGGCTTATTTGGTAAGCTTCTAGCAGGGAGCTTTATGCAGAAAAGCCAAGTCTTTTCAAACTTGTCCCTCCCAATTAAAACATTCCCAATTTATACAGACAGATTACACAGATAACTTTATTCAAACAGGACTTGATAGAAAACCAACCAAACAGCCCCTCAGTCTATTACCTGAATATATGCACCAGGACAAATATCTCAATGGTTCTACGTCCCAGTTCAGTAAGACGCCTTTCATCACGTTCAATGAAGTCCTTGCTGAAATCCTCCCCTGAGCCACCATCCTAACACAGCAAAAAACACCATGAGACTATCAATTTAACTACAACACAAACATTTAGATCAATTAATCATCAGTGTATTGATGCTGAATAGAGAGGGTTAAAAGACAACCCAATGAAAGGATATAGAAAGTGTATTTCTGCATGTAATTTGAGTAAGTTACGTAGGAAAAAACAAAGATATATCTTAGACCTTAAAGATAAGAACTACTTTTTATTACAACTAAATTATCATCTTCAAAACTCCATAATAATAACAAACTTCCTGCAGCATTTCTGTGATCAAGAAACAGCCTTGCACATGCGAAGGCCGAAAACTTTGAGAAATAAGGGCCAAGTATAGCTACAAGTACCAGGACAACAAGATGCCATGTTCGAATGCACTTGATTTGAACATAAAAAATGCAAGAGATACAACTCAAGCAGTAACACAATGACACTCACCTTGGTACGGTTCTGAGGGCCTTTTTCATCCTTCGGGGGCAACGGTTCCAAAGCGGCCCTCTCGAGCAATAATAATACATCATCAACCAGAATAAATGTGTCTTTCTCTACCCTGACTATAGGTATTGGTAGTTCTTCAGCATCCAAGCATTTTCCCTTTGCTTTCTCGTTATTGGTCTGACCTTCGAGGGCCTTCAGTCCACTGTATAAGGAATCCATCACCAAAGTAGATGTAACTTCCTTTTCTATAAAAAAGTGCTTCACAGCGACTTTAAGTATTGAATCCGACTTCTCCCTTGACATGCAGCGCCTGGCCGTTTGATCAATTCCTAACCAGAAGGTACAGAAGCTGAAACACAGAAAAAGTAAAAATGTATTACACCCAGAATATAGAGTGACAGGAATCCTACAGAAGGGGGAACATAAATATCTTACACATGATATCTTCCATTCATGTTAGCACATAAGTTAAACAGCATTGTTATCATCAAATGGAAGAGTAAGATTAACCATATCTCCGTGAAAATATAACAAAACTAGCAATCATAGAATCTTAGTATGTACCTTGACCATCTAACTTTATCTTCTATTAACTTTCCAAGCCTTCCTCTCCTCTCTTCCACAAAACGGCGACATATTTGCTCTACATTCGACAAATATACCCTAACAAGTTCTCTCCTATATTGACAGTCAAGGCATCGGAAAGGCCGGTCTACTCTCTCCCTACAAAACAATTAAACATATTTTCTGTTAGATACCATACATGTTTTCAAGTTCAAGAAAACAAAAACACAATCATAAGAGTTACAAATTATGTCTAAGATGGAGATTATAAGCAAAGAGAACCACATGTTATAAATACATATAGCCGAAACACTTGTGCCTTTGAGCATGTGAGAGAGACAACACATTGGTGGAGATCTGAATGGTCTTCAAGTTGTTACTAGAAAATTATGTGTAATGGCGACAAGGAGAACAATCGCAGCCTTGCAGGTATGTACAAAAAAAAGAAATGACAAATTTCTGAATGAGCTAGAAACCTGATAACTTGGACTTGAGCTTTTATTATAAGGGTGTCAGCATCAACAAACCCATCTAAAACTTTTGATAACTCCATGAACTTTTTCCATCCCCAGTCATGCTCTTTCTTCCAAAAGCGATGTAATGTATCTGAAAACATGCATTTAATAAGTGATAACACCTAATCTCATTGGCCAATAAAACCATACCCAATCAGCAAAAGTAACAGAATGAGATTTTAGAAAAATACAAGCAGAAAAAATTAACAAACCAGAATATTTTGATTTCTTAGGGTCCTTGTTCACGACAGCTATTGTGAACTGTGCAAAATGACTCCAACCTGTTTCCATGAAAGGAATTCCTTAACTATCTGTAAGGTAATGTAACAAAAAAAAAGTAAAAAATCCCCAAGAACAAGCATACCTGGAAGAAGCTTGTCATGATTGGCAACACAAAGAAATAAAGATAAATGATTGCAAACATCACAACCTTGGGGGTAAATCAAGATGTACCTGCAAACCATATCAGAAAGCTTTAGTGAAAGATGATGTGCAACAGTTAAATGTATCTTATTGCTGACAATGTGCATATATACCATCGGCAACTGCACATAAAGATGGCAGCATAATTTTGCCATCCACAACAAAATACTTCAGCCACAAATTTTCCCGAACTACGAAGAATTGACATGCTACAAGGGAAAATGGAAACTGGAAATTTCGCCTACATGAATTCGACAGTGCACACTCATATAACTATCTTGTATCTGTAATTTTCCTAATGAATTTCAGAAAAGCAGAATGCAAATGTGATAGTCAGTATCTGTACTATGAGGGTTTGCAACTCGAGAATTAAATATTTCATAAAAACCGAGGTTGAAAAACAACTTATATTCTGAACCTCATACCATTTGTAGCTGCCAACCTCAAAAGCATTACTACGAAGTTCTCTCTTGTTAATCTGTGAAAACTTGTCTATCTTCCATGTATACTTCCCATATAACTCAGAAGGTTTCGGTCCTGCATTCGATAAAACGGCTAGTGAATAATAACAGTACACGAAAGTCTGAAACTAAATCTCAAGTGGAAAGGAAATAACAGCTGCAATAATACATTCATAGACTTCCCAAAAGTAGTCAAGTGTTTTATCGCTATTTGTTGAGAATATATATGGCTTATTATGTTACATCTCGCATGTTGATCTTGCTACATATATCAGGCTTTAATTCAGTTGTATAATCCATGAAGGAGCCTAAACAGGATAAGACTGCTCTATTATTGTGCCTATCCGAACATGAAAAACATGTTGGGTGTTCTGAGTTTCAGAAATGCTGCAATCAACAACAAAATCTCCCTCGAAAAAGACTGCAGAATGTTGGCAATCACATACAAATTCTAGCTTATCTATAAGTTGAAGGTAAGAAAGAAGATACCACAATAATGGTCATCATCGGTGTCCCAGTAAGGGGGTGATGTCGAAGTAATTCCATTCTCCACCTGCTCAGAAGACCGCCATTCCGCCAAAGCTTCCCCATTTGACATTCCTTCTAGTGACCTGCCAACACCAGACTCCTCAATTGAACTCCCTGCCATTTCCCACTCTCTACAACCTACTCAAAATCACCTATACAAACATAAAAGATAATAAATCATTAAAACTCTTTTTTTTCAGTCTCAACAACTCTATATTTTTTGCATTAAACTCAATATCAAAACCTGATGCCTTTCTCAAGGCTAATAAATCTTGATTCCACATTATCACTTCCATAAAAAATTTCCAATGAATCCTATTATCATCTTTCACGAAAAAAACTTAACAGTGAAACTGATAAGATGAACTAATCAAACACCAAAAGATAAAAACAAACGGGTATATACATGTATATATGTGAAATTAGGAAGAAAAAAAAACCTTTTTTAAAAAAATTCACAAAAGTATAATCGACTTGTTGAATAACAACTAACATGTATATAAAATCAAGAACCATTTACATGAAGAAAAACCAAACCCTAATCATATGGAATGATGAGATGATATAATTAACGAGTAAAAAAAAGAAAGGATAAGTGAAGGATGGAGCGACGAGATGAAACAACCTGAGAGCAAAGAATTTAAGAGCTTCTTCAATGGCGATTTTGGAAGCTGATTTTAGGTCTAATAAGAAAAAGACGCGAAGAGAGAGAGAGAGAGAGAGAGCAGCCGAGCAAAGCAGAGGCAGAAATCAAAATAATTTACTTATTCTAAAAAGGAAATAGAAAAACAAGGCTTTTTCAACGAGGATCTTTTCGTCATTCAATAGTAAATGTAAAATTTAATTTCAGAAAATCGAGTAAAAGTGTAGCCGTCAAACCAACATATTTGAGGTTAGTATGTTTATCGAAAGCTTATCCGAGTAAGGCTTATTAAGTAACATTATCTTATAAGATGAATATGATAAGGATTAAGAATCTTATCCGGTAAGAATAAAACATGGATCAAGAATCTTATCCGGTAAGAATAAAACATAGATCAAGAATCTTACCCGGTAAGAACGAGACAAATATCAAGAATCTTACTCGGTAAGAACGAGACAAGTACCAAGAGTCTTACCCGGTAAATGAGAGCGACGGCTCTTACCACGGTAAGGATAAATCGTTGCATACAATGTCGTTTTTTAGTGGACTAAAATCTTATCCGGTAAGTAAATAATAATGTTAATTTTACCGGTAAGCACTTATCGAGTAAGTGTTTGGTAAACGGCCCCTTAAGCTACCTACACGATGTTACGGTATGCATTTCGATTTAGAGCTGAGAACATAAAAAGTGAATCATATTTTATTTTTGTCTCTTTGCACAATGCATCTTGATTTAAAGACGAACACTCAAAATGTAAATCGTGTTTCATTTTTGTCTCTTTTTGTTCATCTTGATACTAGTTGTATACTCATATAATTAATGTAGTTTGGTGTAAATTTTGAATATATGTAAGCAATAATACCTAGTACAAATAGGTTTTTACCACATAAAATATATTTGTGGATCCATTTTACATTTTTATGTAGAATGTGAGAAAGAATAAAAACTAATTAATGTTAAGGTTGTGAAAAAACATGTGTTCATTGTGTGAAAATGATTGGTAGATGATTTTGTTATAGGATCTTCCTCATATTCATCAGTTCTCATTTATCCAAAACTCTTCAGACTAATTGGGGTGCAAGCAAGCAAGCTGGCGTAGCTAAAATTATAGTGCCTATTAAAGTTTTTAATTCAAAAATAAAATATCAGTTGAAAATATATTATTGGTTGCTACCATGGTTTTGGAGCTGAAGTTTGTAACTTATCAATATATTAATTCTTTTCAATGACCTTCGCAGATGCTAGGATTGCATCAAATGATGGGAATATGCCCAAAAAGTTTTTCTCAACAAAACATAATAATATTCACCGTAAATACTTAAATGCATATTTTTGATTTAAACATGTCAATACTTCTGTTAATAAAATAGGAATCAACACCATGGATCTCTTTGAACTTCTCCTCTTCGAATAGTACAGGGGCACACTCCACATGCCTAGTTGTGACTGATGTTCTAAATACAACTCCTTATACATGAAGGTCTCGCAAATGCAACATTGAGAATACCAATTGTGCCCATATTCAATCTTTTTATTCTCACACTTTTTTCGAGAGTCGAGGGTCTTCACCTGACCCCCTCCCACCCCAACTCCACCACCGAGTGAGATATATTGGGATAGTTTAGTGACTCCCGGACCATTTCTCTCAATCACAACCTTAAATGAATACCAACTTTTGTTAATCCATAAACAAGAAAATCAAAATTACTGATGTTTGTGATAACTTGTACTTATATAGACATAATTTGTACATTTCTTTAGTTTTGTCAAGTTATGTCCGCAAAATGGTCTTTTATAATATGCAACCATTTAAAGTATTTTATAATATATACTATCTTATAAAGCATTTGGCTAAAACTCTTAAACTCGTTCATCCCTAAATGATTTCATCCCTATCCGATTTCATTCCATATCTGAATTCATGTAACTAACTG